TTATCGTCAAATTCATCGTCCTCTTCCTCCTCCACTTCGTCTACAACTACTGTTTCTGTTTGCTTTCCACGTATCGACTTCAAACGTGAAAAGAACGATCTGATCTGGCCAGGTTTTAAAAACTCGGCCGGTGTGCAATAGAGTCTATTCTTCAAATCTTTTTTTCGCTGCATTTCAGCCGATACTTCCTCTGGTTTCCATCGAATTCTCTGTTGTACACCCTCATCGAACTTCTCAGTGAGATATTTTATCTGAGATTCATTCAGACGTGTCACTTTTCGTTCTTTTGGCAAAGCCCATCCTCTGTCTGGTGTAATACGAATTGTATCATCATCATCATCATCAGGTGTAGCCTCTTCCAATTGAAGAGAAATCATTGATCTTACTCCAACATTTTCCAGTTTCGAGTGATACATAGTCATAGCCATGTCTCTCATGGAACTACGTTCTATTCGATGTCGGTGTTTTCCTGTACATAAATGTTGAGTTAAATTTCCGTATCTGATAAACGAAGCTAGACATCCCTCTTCGGGACAGTCATACAGCTTACTTCTACTACCCTGGACCGCCGGTTCGACTGTAGTTATCGTGGTAATCGAGGAACGATCGGACTGAGATTTACGTTCTTTAGGAACTGTGGTTTTCCGGAAGCCATTTCATCGCCCAATCTGTTAGAATATAAACTGAATTGGCAGGCAGATCCTGCAGCAGTTCTTGTCTTGACCGATCCTGATTCACAGCTCGTAGCTGATGACATTTCCATGCCTCAATAGCATCTGTACTCATTTTAAGTTTAGCCAATTCACGATCTAATAATTCGTTATCAGTTGCTGAACTCTTTATCGTAGTACGTAATTTTTCTAAAGTGACAGCCAAATTATTACATTCTACACACACGTCATCATGTCGATGGTTACACTCCTCGGCATAATCAGTGTCATTTGATTTTGTAAAAGTGCATAGTTAATGCAATGATCAGTTATAGTTGACGATTTTTGCACATGAACTTTATAATCAGTCTTCAGATACATTCGTCCGCGTTTTACATCATCAACGAGTGTTTTTTTTGAATCACTATCCATTGATAGATCATTCACCATATCAATAAGATTATCAAATACCAGACTAGCGTTAGCTGCAAAATAGTTCACTCCTTGTAAACCGTGTCTTGTGGACGCTTTACACGAATTCAGTAACGATAAACGACTTGTGCGACCAAGTGGAGGAAAACCCGGCTTATTTTCAGCAATGTACTCAAAATATTGATCAACAATTCTCGAAGGTATCATATTTCTGATTGTATTTGGGACGTAAAGTTCAACACCAGTCGAAAGACGTAGACGCCGTTCACCAAAAGGCAGATCAGTACAAATATGTGGTGATAGGATAAAGTCTATAAAATGCTCCACCTGAGAACAGCAGTGTCGACTTCCACAGTTCCGTGGAAATTCCTGCAGAATTCAACTACACATTCAACTCTACACTGTAACTAAGATTCTGTTCGGAATCTGGTTGAATTCTGGTAGAATTGAACCAGGGGGAGGATAGGAGGGAACATGAGAGTGAGTACTGATAGCTTGAATTCTGCTGAATTCTAGTAGAACTGCGCCAGATTCTGCCAGAATTACAGCAGAATTGAGCAGAATCTGCCAATTCGTAGAGAGAATCTAGATGTGAACTAATATAACTCGTAGAACTAGAATTGGAATTCTATCAGAATTCAACCAGATTCCGAACAGAATCTTAACTACAGTATATATTTGAATGTGAAGTTGAATTCTGCAGTTCTGCAGAATTCTGCCAGAATTTCCACGGAACTGTGGAACTTGACACCACTCCCTAAGAATCACTAAATCTTGCCAAAGTGGATGGAGCACGTTCAACCTGACGTCCAGTTCCGTATTCTAAAGCATGACGTCTTGCTGCTGTGAAACGATATAGAGTTAATCCAGGTAAAAACGACTGTGTAAGTTTACAGCTTATTTTCGGTGCGACAACTGATAAAATCTCTTTGCGCGTGGTCCACTTCTCTGAGTTTTTATATGCCTCGCTTATACCATCCATTACTGCCAGGAATTTCCCATCTATCAAACAGCATTTCGAATCGTTCTTTGTATCGAATAGATCACGTTTCACATCAGTAATATTATTAGGAACAAGAAATAAAAGTACGGTTTTAATAACAGGTCGAGCGGTAGACAGAAATGTATTTTTCCATTTTTTAGTTAAATTATTATAGTTCAGTGTAGACCAAATTTCTCTATCATTGCCAGATAATTGTAGAAATGTTAACAGAGCAGTTTTCTGCTCTTTAT